GTAGACATCATGACGAAGGGAGTGCATGACGAAGTATTCAGAAGACTAAGAGTTATGATGAATATAGATAGTTTAGACACAATGAATTAGGTGGTGTGTTGAAGGTTAATTCCTTGTGTCGAAAGTAGTATGTTGCTCGACACAAGGTTGTTTTGAATTAGCTTAGTTTGTTGAGTTGTTAGGTGTGTCGAAGCAGTTGCTACACACAAATTTGATTTAGATTTGATTTGATTTATTTCTAAAATAGGTATTTTGGACTTTTAGAATTTTGGGCTTTTTGCTTAGGGAGAAAGCAAGCTCAATTATAAATAGAGAGAGCAACCCATATTTTTGTAATCAATTCATTCATTCACAATATTTGCAGTTGCAAGTGAATAAGAAAGTTTTCCACAGTTTGTGGGCAGAGAGAAACTCTGCAGAAACCCTAAATCTCTTTTCTTCTTTAATTTTTCTTCTTTTTTTCATTGTCATTGTGTGGTGATAACAATCTTGTTCATCAAGATTAATAGAAATTCATCATAGGAATTGGTGGATTTCCAACATTTATGTTATACTATTATATAATAGGTGTAGCATTAAAATTGCAATAAATTCTTTTCATTTTATTTGATATATCAACTTCAAATAATCAAAAAAATATATAAAAAAAATAGGATTTTGCCAAGAGTTGTTATCATGAAAAATTAGTCAAAATATTTTCAAAAGATACATTAAAAATAATTATATTTTCAAAATAACTAACAATAATAAAAAAAATTTAAAAATTTTATATTTTTGTAAATTTGATAAAATAACACTATGTAATTATTATTATTATTATTAGTATTTTATTTATTTAGAAAACAAAAGATCATATTTATTTCGAGAAAAAAATATCAATTTTTGAAAAGAAACAATTGTATTGACTCTAATCAATTTTTAGAACTATTTAGTTATATAAAATGAAAAATTATTCAAAATATTTTCAATATTATTTTTTATTAGTAAAAAATAGTTATATATTTTCAATTTATTTGATATTTATATTTAAAATAAATGTATATTTATAATTTTTATTATTATTATGAAAAAAATATCAATTTTTGAAAAGAGACAATTGTATTGACTCATCAATTTTTAGAACTAATTAATTATATAAAATGAAAAATTATTCAAAATATTTTCAATATTATTTTTTTATTAGTAAAAAATAGTTATATATTTTCAATGTATTTGATATTTATATTTAAAATAAATATGTATTTATTTTTATTATTATTATTATTATTATAAGTATTATTATTATTATTATTTGAGAATTAAAGATTTTTTTTATAAAGAATGAGAATTAGGATATTAAGATATAATAGTGATAATTGAATATATTATTATTATTATTATTATTATTATTATTATTATTATTGTTATTGTTGTTGTTTTGATATTATTATTATTATTATTATTATTATTATTATTGATTTAATATTATTATTATTATTATTATTTACTTTAATATAGGATTTGTTACCAAAATAACATGTGGTTATGATTGTTATTAAGATGACAATTGTTATTAAGATGATATGTGGCTAAGATTTTAGATTTATACTGGATAGATAATTTAGTTTGCAAATAAGCCTTCTAAGTATGGCTTCATCCTCATTAAGAGGTGGAATTATGGTTATGAAGTTCTAGGAACATGTAGGAAGTTATGGTAGGTTTAGTAGCAAGAAAGCATGCGTCTTCAAGAAGGTCAATAGTCTACTTTCTTTGGCTTAGAAGATTTTCTTTATCAGATTTACATTTTTTTACCCTGTGAAATATATAAGTGATCCTAGATTTTTTATTTTGAAAACACTGATCAAGGAAGCTTTTAACCCTTTGTATTTTTGCATTGTCATTACATGCTAAGACTATATCATCAACATAAATAACTTAAGTTGTAAAATTGGTATCATTCGATTTTTTGAACAAATAAGATAAGATAATAAGATGATTTGCAATATCACTATATGCTTGCCTGATTAAGGCCATATATTGATTTATGCAATTTACAAAGTTTAGGATTACCAGAGTTATTAGGAGAATGGAAATTCAAGGGGCTAAAAACATATAAACATCTCTATTTAAATCACTATGCAAGAATGTGTCGTTCACATCTAATTATTTTTGTAATTACAACTAGATTGATATATTTTGGTAGACAATGTCTAAAATAGTGTTGAGGCATCTTGGTGAGACATTTTTTTCAGTTTTCTAATTTATTAATTTGTGTGTTTTTCTTTTAAAAATATTTATTTTTACTCGTTTAAATTTATGTTTATTTTAGAAGATTTAAATTTAAAAAATCTATTTCGTTCTAGATGATGTTAATATGTTTTGGAAAGATTTATTTTCTCTTGTTTAAATTCAGATTTAATTCAGAAAGATCTATTTTGTTGCGGATTATGTAATATGTTTTAGAAATATTTTAATTGAGTCATTTTTTTTATTCATTGGATTAAAGTTAAAAAACTATGATCATCCAAAATATATGTATTCACTATATTTATCAAGATTTTGAATTCGGTTTAGATCACTAAATTTATAAATAATTTTTGTCAAATTAGCTCCAGACCAAATAACTTTTCTCACATCTCATCAGTGAGAACATCACACAAGCTAGTTTTCTAAGTATATCCCATCATCCAATTCTAAGAATCTCTAAATAAATCTCTTAAACCATCGATAAAAAATAAAACTTTTATAAGTATTATACTTGCGAAAGATGTATTATTTATGACTCTACCTGCAATGTATAAGGAAAGCCTAAATGCAAGAAAAACTTAAATTTGAGTGATCTATCAAATCAGTGATGCATTTCTTGGTCCTCTTTGGTGTATTTATAAATATACATTATTACTTCTAGTTTCATGATCTTAGTTGTTATGGTTATTACATCATTATGGTTATTAACAATCCCGCTCTTTTATTTGAACATTAATTGTGTAATCCTTATTAAAATCAATATATGACTCAAGATAAGTCATCCACTTGCCCTAAAGAAGAGATGTTCCCCTAATTGGATGACTCTATCCATGACATGAATTTGCTGATGATAAGTGGATTTAGATTATTGAAAAAATATCGTTTTAAAAAGTATGACGGCTTATAGTCCCTCAAGCTCAAGACTTCTAAAAAAAAGTGATTGAATATATATATATATATATATATATATATATATATATATATATATATATATATATATATATATATATATAAAAGTTTATAGTTCCTCAAATCTAAGGCTTTTAAAAAAGAAATGATTAAAAAGATAGGATGGTTCACAGTCTCTCAAGCACGAGACTTATAAAGGCGAAGTGATTAAACAAAGATATGACAGCAAACCGTCTCTAAAGCACGAGACCATTAAGAATAAAGTAATTAAACAAAGACATGATGATTCAAGTAAAATCATAATTGAGTTTAATCCAATTATTACACTATTGATACTAACGAACGTGTCAAATCTTTAATCTCGACATCACAATATTGTTATGTATAAGGTTCTCGTTCTCGATCTCTCCCACTAGATACAAGATTGATTTTGTTGGCTTATCATGACACTAAGGATGCATTTGTTTCAAATTATAAAACATAATTCCTTAGAAACTTGTTTTCAAGATTATTAGTTTTAGGAATAATATTCTTATGTAAATTAAAATTAAAATTCTTAAGAATATTTACGATATTTATTTAACTAAAATTATAAAAAAAAAATGTGAATAGTGAAAAATTGTACTTAATTAAATATTATTCTTATGAAAATGTTAGATTCTTATCCTTTAAGCATGGAAATAATTATGACAAAGATTATTTATAAAAATATTTCTTAAAATAAAAAATATTTAAAAATAATTTTTAAAAACATAAAACAAAGTGGAATTGTTGTTTTTCTAATGTAAGATTTTCGAAAATGCAATTTCAAAATATGAAACAAATACATTCTAAAATTCCTCCTCATTTATTATTTTAGTAGAGAAAATAACATTATTTTATCTAAATAATTTAATAATATGATTTCAAAGAGACCGTTAAAATTCAAAAATAAATTTTATCATAAAAAAAATATCTCTAGATAAAATATTTATATTTTTTTCAGTAGAAATCAGTTACCTTTGCATAGTAGAGACTAATTTTTCAAACGGACAATAATTCTTACCATTTAAATTAATAATGTTAAAATATATTAGTAAAAAATTTAGATATAATTATTTAGATGTATTTTTACTATTTTTTAATAAAAATATGATAAATATATTTACATATAATTTAATAAGTAAAAATATAATAAAATAAGAGAAAAATATATATTTGTTATGTTTTCATTAGATAATAATAAAAACTGTATTTAAAAAATTAATCATAAATTTTATCGATATGTTATCTATAACTATATATAAAAAAGATTCATATTTTTGGGTTGGCTTATTTTTCTTCCTAAAATACTCCTTATTTTTTTAAAATAAATAAAACAATACAATTTAAAAATAATTGTGTTGTTGATAACTTCCATCAGTTACCCATGAGAAGGATTTGAATAGCTTCTATCCTTTATAACACCAATTTTAGTTACTTTGCCGAACCAAAAAAATTTCACGCTCATTTCCAAATAAATTGTTGAGAGTGAGTAAAATCAAATAATTTTTTGCACACAAGAATTATGAGCATTCAGTTATATTTTGGTGACATATACGTAAAGTGTGAGTATCTTGACTATTCAATGTCCAGTTTTTTATTATATTAGTCATATGATATGTTTTTTCATCATCATTGTTTCTCGTATATGAACATAATAATAAAAATCCTATAGGATATTTTTGGCTAAAAAACTTTAATAATCGATGGAAAGGATCCCACTTCCGAAGTTGGAATAACAAACCAAAAGGCAAGTGGACACGTTTCTTGTTAGTGTGTTTGCTGTTGTTTTTTATCCAATAAAATAGGTCTTTTAGCGGTGGATGTGTGAGTCTCACCCAAACATGGAGCAAGATCGGAGGCTTGAGCTCATCGACCTCGCTATTCAGAAACATATACACGACAATTATCATAACCTTAAAGACCACGAAACTCAATACCAACAAACTCTCTCCCAACTACTCTCTGCCTCTCAGGTATTTTGCAATTCATACTTTCTGTGTCAATTGTTAAACACAACTTTTTTTATTTATATGTCATATGATGTTACTCAAAGAAAACAACACGATTTATGTTCTTTTTGCTTGATTTAATTTATTAGGAGTTGGAATTGTCTAAAACTTTGGATGTTTCTAGTCCTTCGAAGCCTGTGGCTTCTGTAATTGAGGAAAAAGAAAGTGAAATTGTGGATGGTGGAGATTGCAAGGAAAAGGAAAAGGAAGATGATGAGTTAGTCAAAGAGGTGAAAAGTGTGAAAAGGCAGAATTTTGTTACTCATTGTCTTCTTTCAGTGATGATTGTCCTCACTGTGGCTTGGCAGTTATCAGAAGTGTCACTTATTATGAAAGTGAAGGATGGAATAAACCACCCATTTAGATCCTTTGGGAATATGTTCAATGAGATGAGAGAGAAAGCCTTTGACATGAACGGCCACGATGCTGATGACAAAGAAAACAATAAATCTCTGCCTCTTCCTTCTACTGTTGTTAAGGTTCAAGATATGATTAAAATGGATGTACCAAATTTAGGAGAGGAATGAAACTTGTTAGTTTCTTTAAGTGCTTGATTATCCATCATCTATTGGTTGAACTTGAAGGTGGGAACTGTAATAGTTAATTAAGGAACATTTTAAGTGATTTCTTGTAATGGAAAGTGTGCATTCACACTTTGTGTGAGCATGTTGGTTGCTTTATCTGTATTTGCTTACTTGTGTTAATGATCTTGTAACATTTACTTAATAGGTATCAGATCTTTCTATAAGCCAGATGAACTCAAGCAGTTATGCATAGACAGACTAAGGGTGTGTTTAAATTTGTGGTGTTAAGTCAGATGGAATAACATTTCCTAACAGACAAGCCTAAGCAACACAATGAAATACCATCAAATTAAAATATATTTTTCCTTGACATAAGAGTTGCTGTGCTTTGGATTGGCTCAATATTTTATAAAGCTTGGGTTGAAATTCGAGACCTCTCTATATTTTTGTATTGGAATATTTAAGAGAAGGAAACTGATCAAAGAAGGATGACATTTGCAATGGCTAGCACACTTGTGCTGGACAAACGTCAAGTAAATCCAACTTTTAAACCAACAATGTAAAATAAAACTACAGTATAATAAAAACATTGATACATGCATAAAGCAATTTTTAGATGCAAATTGCACGGATGTTTGGAGCCAGTATAAAGTTTTCAACCCCAAAATTTCATTGATCTTTAACAATTTTTCCTTCAAAGTTTTAAACACAATTCTAAACAGGAGCAACAATTAAGAAATAAAATGCCAATACAAACCAAAAGAGCCAATTTTAAATTTCAAATGTCTGAAGCAAAACAGCTGTGGGCAACTTATACATTCATCGATCTATATGTTCTTCATGCATAGTTCAACCGGAATACGTCATTCAAAACATAATAGCTTCCTTGCGGTGTTGGTATCAAATGGAACATCTGCAGACATAAAATGTTGTGAATGAGATTTGAAAAGAGGTAATTAGTATAAGAAAGAACAAGAAATGATCCTGAAGACCATCAAGTGATATTTTGATGCCTCTATTCTCAAACAATCTCAGTTCTATTTGGGCAATAGTAACAGGCAAATGCACTAAAACACCATTTAACAATATGAAAAACACTGTAAATTTGGAAAATTCTCTCTAATAATTAGTAACAGTAACCCTAATGCCAAACCACACAGGCTATTTTCCTCCAGCAACTGGCAGTTTATGGGGCAACAACAACAATCAAACCTTATCCCAGCAGCAAGTGGGGTCGGCTAACACAGATCAAACTATGCAATGATGTTCAATCAAAACCTATGCTTCTATCTATCTTATTAATCTCAAGATCTTTCTTGATAATTTCCCTTACAGTTACTCTCCTTATGGAGCCTTCTTCCAAATGGTAACTAAGTTATGAGGATTTTTTTGTATTCCCCTTTAGCCCTTTCAATATTAACTACTCCAACATTTGGCATAGGTACATACTCCACTTAGATTTCAATAATTTATACAAGTAGGATGGTCCTAAAATATGAGTGAAGTAGTCAGAAAGTGCATGCCTATGCAAGAACCACTGAACACATAATAGCATTAGACTCTAGTGAACAAATCAAAGCAATAAAGGCACAGTTTTTAAGGCATGTGGCATTGAGATTTGAAAGCAATGTAACACCAGCAGGACCACAAATACATCCCCACCCAAGTAAATAAAGTTTCCACAACATCAAGTAATCACCAATACCCTAGAGAAAATAAAATTGATACAGAAAGGAATCTCCATGGAATTATTAATAAGCAAAGTTCAATTGAACACCTAGAAATCCACTTCATATCTGTAAGACAAATCCATCCTAATAAGAAGAAATAAATACCCGATTTAGTCGCTGAAATTGTAGTGTTGTTTCAACATACATAATCCCTCCACATTAACAATTTTTCAAAATGATCACTAAAATTACAAGATATTAATCAAATTCATCTCTTTGTTGGTTTGCTCAAGGACTCTCTAATCTATAATAATATTAAGTTGGTAATGTTAGAAATGCATTTGGAACTAAGTGAACCATGGCTATGATACATTTTACAATAGATCCAACAAAGAGACAAACCTGATTAACATTTCACAAATATAATGATCATTTTAGAACACTAATAATAATGATCAAAATTCAGGAAGCAAATTGGCTATTCACTCCAATAGGTACAAACAAAATAACAAGTCATGTTTGGATAAATAGCTTAATTTGCAGCTTATAGCATAAGTACTCATCATGATAAGCAATTATAAGTTTATTTCCACGACCAAAGATAAATTAAATTAATTACGTATAAACTATAAGTTGTTTGCATAAGCTATTTGGAAAAAGTAAGAAAATATGTTTCAAGTTATTTTCATAAACCATCATGAAAAACTAGTGAAAATAAGCTGAAACAATCATAAGTTGTTTTCATAAAGTATCTTTAAAAACTTAGGAAAATAAGCTGAAACATGTGTCATAAGTTGTTTTCATATGACCTAAACCAAATAAATTCACAACACTTAAAAACTCTGATGAAGCAAAACCTAACAAAATTGAGATTTCACAAAACATAGATCCACCACCAAATCAGAACAAAATCATCGATCCAAAAAGAAAAACCCTAAAACCTAAAATTAGAAAACCCTAGATAAGGGAGTGATACCTGGCTGAACTTAAGAGCATGCTGTTCGCCGGCGAGCTGGAGATTCCCGCTAACGAAAACAAGCATACCACCGTTAGCCCCAGACGGCTGACAATCAACGGTTGTGATGGAGTGATGACACTGCTGGAAAGGGAGAGAAGTGAGTTTGGCAACGATGTTCTGAGAGCCCTGAATCTTCTGACCTTCGAAGGTGAGCATGGAGCTTTCCTGGTAGAGAGAGGCGAGACCGGGACGGTTGGTGTCGAAGGTGGTGTAGTAGTGCTCGACGAATGCCTTTGCCAACGCGTCTGGATCCATCGATGCTGATTCAATCGCCGCCGCTGGTGAACTCTTTTTTGGTTTTACGCTTTACTCTCACGCAGACTTATGGCTCCTTAGTCCTTAAGTATAAATACAAGCTCCCTTCATGACCCCGTAGTTTTTTCATTTTTCTTTTTTTACAAAAAGAACAATTTTTTATTTATTTTAAACCTTATTAATAAAAATAAGTTCAAAGAAAAACCCTAATAAAGCTTGGCGATTTCCGGCGTATTCACTAACGATTTCGGCACGGTGGAGTGTTTCACGCTGTGTCGTTTTTTCATCTTTAAAAGTAAAGTCGTTTCGTGATGGTTTAAAGTCATAATCTTCGAATTAGGGACCAAATCGAAGGGGATTTTTGTGGTTTGTACGTTACGATTGGAGTATGGGTCGGGGGAGAGGACGACCGAAAAACAAGGTGCCATCATCGTCGATAAAACTCGTGAACCGGAAAAATAAACGAGGAGTAGTAGCACTACAAATGAAAGCAAAAACAGTGATAATGAAGACAATTCGGAGGGATAAAAGGAAAAAACCATAGAAGCAACAAAGGGAGAACCCCATCCCATCTTTGTTGAAGAATAGGAATTAATTACAAAGGTAACTGAAGAGGAACAACTAAAGATGTTGTGGGTGGGCGTGATTAGTGGTAACCGCATTCTGAAAAATGGGTTAGCAATAGAATTCATTCCACCTCAAATTATGGAAGGGAATATGGAAGTGCAAATCGATGAAACTGGTGTGGAATCAAAAATAATGTTTTGGGAAATGGCATTGATTATGTACGTTATAGGTAAAGATTTGAGCATGATTGCTTTTAAAAATTACATGACGAGGGTTTGGAACTTTGTCATACTACCAGATATGTTTTACCATGATGAAGGTTATTCCCTCTTGAAATTACATTCATTCAAAGAAAATAATATGATACTCATGAAGGGTCCCTATACAATACAGAATGTTCCCACGATCTTAAATGAATGAAGTCCAACATTTAACTTTAAACATGACATGTCGTGTACTCTACCAATATGGGTCAAACTTCCATATTTGCATCTCCATCTTTGGGGAGCAAAGAGCTTAGGGAAGATATGAAGCGCTTTAAGAAAGTATCACCATAAAGGACGGGAACGGGGAGAAGTTCAATTAACAAGTGAAGTTTGAATGGAAGCCCAAATATTATGAATGTGTCAAAAACGGGGCACCAATGTAATCAAGAGAAGAACAAAGCTACTAAACAATGGCCAATAAAGCCATCAAAGATTGTCCATATTGTTGAGGAAAATGATACTCCTAAGGAGCGTGATGAACCAACTTCTTGGATACTTGTCTCTACTAAAGGTAAAAATGTCATCTCAATGCCTTCTACTATTAATCATAAGGTTGAAATTGTGTGTCATAATGGGTTTGCAACCCTTGGGATTTGGAATGATCCCATAGGGTCTTTTGACCATGGACCATGATTGTGTCTTGGAATGTAAGGGGATTAATAATAGTGGAAAATGCAATGAGATTGTCTCCTGTCTCAATAACATTAAACCCATGTTAGCTATCTTAGTGGAAACCAAAATTAAACTGCACGAAGCCAAAGGTATTAGAAATAAAATGGGGGCTAAGTGAAACTACTTTAACAACTACATGAAGCATAATAATGGTAGGATTCAGATTATGTTCGATGGGGCCAAAATCCAAGTCAAAAGTATATCATGTACTGAGCAGCTTATCCAATGTGGTATATATGCTTTGAATGGTGATTTTATGATACAATGTACTTCTATTTATGGTTTCAACACTTTGGATAAAAGAAGGAAGCTTTTGGAGGACATTGAAAAAATTCATGAGAATGCCCAAGGGCCTCGGTTCCTAATGGGTGACTTTAATAATGTCTGCCAGGCCCATGATACGATTGAGGGAAATCATGTTCATGAAAATGAATTCAAAGACTTAATGGCTATGCTTGATATAACTGGCATGTTAGAAAAATATAATGTTGGGGATCAATTTACATGGTTCAACAAACACTCTACAGGGCCCATTTATTCCAGGATTGACATGGTATTTGGTAATCTGGCCTGGCACAATCAAAGCACTGATACAATTTTGAAGATCTTAGAGCCCGGGGTCTTAGATCATAGTCTCATCTTCTTGGATAATCATGTGCAAAACATAGTCAGGAGGAACCACTTTAGATTCCAGAATATGGTAATTAATACCGATGGTTTCCATGAAGCCTTTTCGAACGATTGGAACAAACCCACCACTGGAACCCCTATGTTATTCTATGGAAGAAGCTCAATAGACTGAAGCCAATTATTCAAGAGAAAAAAGTTGTTAAAAGGGATTCATATCTAAATTTAGAAGATTAGGGATTGTTTGAAGGAAGCTTAAACTTTTCTAGTGCATGATGGGATGAATATCAATTTGATTGATAAAATAAAAAACCTTACCTCTGAGTTACTGAGATTGAGTAGCATAGAAGAGAAACTTCTTAGACAAAGGGATAAAATTTAGTGGCTTAGACTTAGGGATGGTAATAACTCGTATTTTTATGCTTCCTTGAAAAGCAAGCTTAAACAAACTCGTATTACATCTATGCAAAACGAAAAAGGAGAAACTCTAACTACCCAATCTGAGATGAAAGCTGAAATTTTAAAGTTTTATGGACAACTTCTTGGATCTGCAACCACCAATATGAAATTTATTAACATTGTTTCTTTAAGGGATAATAACCAAGTTTCTAATACTCAAGGGGACTACCTGATGACACACAAATATTTCTCATACTTTAGTTTAAATTAAATTATTTTATAGGTATTATGCAGGTATTTTTCTATTTTTACAGATATACATTAAGTTGAACACTTTGGAAGAAATGAAGAAAAAAAGGGTGCAAAGATAGCAAAAAAGGGCCCAAGTAGAAGAAACCAGCCTAAGCCCATCAAGCATGTGAGCACGTGGCCCACCATGAAGAAGACCTTGACGATCGTCAAGGAGTATGTCGAACGTCATGCATTGAGAATGACCAAGTGACTATCGTCACTTGGACGTGACGAACGTCACAAGGCCACTTTCTCCCACTTTCTTCGCATCCAATGGAAAGAAACCCATTCAAACCAAATCCAACGATCACCTATATCATCTGACCCACTCAGTCAAAGCAGGAGGAACGTAACAAAGTTAATGGTCCTATTATTTTTCAAAGGAACACAAATTGTTCCTACATTTTCGAGAACTAACTGATCACACAAGACTTATAAATAGAGCCTTGAACCATACGAGAAAGGAGTTCTTCTTTTTGGGCAGAAACTTTGGAGAATTCATATTTACTTTTAGCAAATATTCTTTCAGTATTATTTTATTTCCCAGTTATTTCTATATTCCCTCCAGCATTATTTTCATTGTACGGTTAAATCTATTCCTCGGTCGAAGCAAAGCCTATAGTTTGTGCAGGAGTGCTTCTATCTTCAGAATTATTACCAGGTTTATGTTTACGAATTATTATTGTTTTTTAATCAATATAATTATGTTTATTTTCGTATGTCTCTTAAATTATTATGTGATTTGGTCTGATATTATGTTAGGCTAGAATTCTTATACTGGTATGTAAAGTCACTCAACCAAGGGAACGAGTAACTTAGTTGGGATTATTTTTACTACAAAACTTTCTTTTCTGGCCTAAGTTACTATTTTTAATCATTAAATTGTTTTGTTACGAAAGTAAAGAACAGATAGAGGTCGGGGTCAACAAACCGGAAGTTTGAGATCTTTTAACTGGACAGTAGTAATTAGGCATTAGCTTAAAATACAGCGGAAGCACTTTAAAGTTAATTAAGATTTTATTTAGTTTTCAAAAAGTGTTTTTAACTCCTGCGGGATGGCGGAAGCGTACGTTAGGACTTAACTGCATAGCCTAGATCAACAAAACGACAGTGTGAGACGAGGGTTTTTAAACTAAATAAGTTTTACTGAAAGCTGTTTTGAAAATATAAAGACACCCAACAGGTCGCTAGTTCCTGAGGTTCGACTATTGCATACTGGTAATTACGCTCATTGATTATTAAAAATCCAACTTAATTTAGTATTTAGTTTTCCCTACAACCCAATCAAACATTCATTAGCTTTAGATTTGCGAAGTAACAATAGAAGACGGTAGATCGATTCATTAGTCTCTGTGGTTCGATATCTTTTAAAACTACATGATAAGACTGTGCACTTGTAGTCCGAATCATTGGATACATAAGTAAAATCCCGATCAAGTTTTTGGCGCCGTTGCTGGGGACTGATTTAAGTCGATATCGCTACTCTTTTGTTACGCAGTAGAGACTAGAGCAAAAACCTCTCTTTTTCTTCTCTTTTTATTTTTTATTTCTATTCTTATTTGTATGCCAAACACTCGTTCGCAAGGCGAGCCGTTATACATACAAATCAACGATATCGAGCGGTATCTCAGACTTAGACATCGCATTCAAGAGTATCATCTCCTATTTCTTGACCAACCGAAGAAATGGATGCCAATCCTGCTCCGCGCCCACTCAAATCATACGCCATTCCCTCACAAGATGAACCGCACAATAGCATTGCTACCCCTCCAATCGAGGCTAACAACTTTGAACTGAAACCTTCTCTGTTATCTGTTGTGCAACAGAACCAGTTCTCTGGTGGGTCAATGGAAGACCCTAATCTTCATCTATCAATATTTTTACAGTACACAGATACAATTAAGAACAATGGGGTCAATCAAGAGGCAATAAGACTTCATATCTTCCCTTTTCTCTAAGAGACAGAGCCAGAGCTTGGCTCCAATCTTTACCCGCAAACTCAGTCACTACATGGGATGAGCTGAAGAAAGTTTTTCTTGCAAGGTATTTCCTGCCAAGCAAAACAGCTATGCTAAGATCTCAAATAAGCGATTTTAGACAAAAGGAGAATGAATCCTTTTCGATGCTTGGGAACGATACAAGGATCTAATGAGAATATGCCCACATCATGGCTTGGAA